AGCTGAAACTGAAGGACCAATGCTTGCTCATTAGAAATTATCAAGCGAAGCGACTGCAAAATTGTGTTGAACCCAAATTCAGATTCTGTGATGAATGTCCAGAAACAATTAATCATCTTGTATCAGATAACACTGTATCAGGTATGAACACAACGCAGACCCGGTTACAGACATGGGATTTTAAAATACACACAGACAGAACAATGAAAAGTAATCACCCAGAAATAGTGATCAATGACCACAAAACAGAATGTGTTTTTTTGTTGACATGACCTTTCCTTGAGACTGCAATGCATCCTGGAAAGATCTTAAAAGACTATCAAAATACCAGGATCTTGAAGTGGAAATCTATAAAATGCGTCACGTGTATTCATCAATAATTCCAGTTGTTTTGGGGGTCTCTGGGTTTAACTTGAAAAGGTTCCGATAGACTCGTTGAAAGGATCCCTGATATCCAAATGGTTCTTCTCGCGAGTACAGCTTATACCTGACAAAGGAACTTTTTTCTACGTAAAATGTTAAGCCATATTTATTTTTATTTTTTTTGAGTGAAAAATGTCTTGATGCTATTTCTGACCGTAGGTTTCTGGGAAATAAAAGCAAAAACAAAAACAAAACAAAACAAAAAACAAAACATAATAATTTTGTATGAAATTTATTTTCGTTTTTTTTACAGACTTTATGAAGTTTTTAAACTTATTTCAAGTCCACATCTGAAGATTCTCAATGATTACATTATATAACATATAATTATCTTATATATATGTTACATACTTTACATCGTGCTAACAACCATATCGTTTCACTGGCAATTGAGGGTTCCTCATTTCTTACTGCTTTCTTTTACATCTAGCTAACAACTATGTCTTCTTTTTCCTGGCAGTTTAGGATTCATCCCTTCTTACTGCTGCCTTTTACATGCTTTACATCTTTTACATCTTGCTAACAACCGTATCTTCCTTTCACTGGCAATTGAGGGTTCATCCTTTCTTACTGCTTTCTTTTACATCTTTTACATCTTGCCAATAACCATATTCTTCTTTTTCCTGGCAATTTAGGGTTCATCCTTTCTTACTGCTTTCTTTTACATCTTTTACATCTTGCCAATAACCATATCTTCTTTTTCCTGGCAATTTAGGACTCATCGTTTCTTACTGCTGCCTTTTATACCCTTTACATCTTTTACATCTTGCCAACAATCATATCTTCTTTTCACTGGCAATTGAAGGTTTATCCTTTCTTACTGCTTTCTTTTACATCTTTTACATCTTGCTAACAACCATATCTTCTTTTTCCTGGTAATTGAAGGTTCATACCTTTCTTACTGCTTTCTTTTACATCTTTTACATCTTGCTAACAAAAATATCTTCTTTTCACTGGCAATAAAGGGTCCATCTTTTCTTACTGATTTCTTTTACATCTTTTACATCTTGCATGCAACCATATTGTCGTGATACACGTGTTTCGTTGTGCAAAACGTTTTATATTTTTCATTTTCACTCGATTATATAAGGCGTATTTGCTTCTTTATTTGATTTGCAATGCATTTTATGGTTTTTCAGGAATCTTACGCCATGTTAAACAAACACAAACTGCCCGTAGCCCGAGAAGAAACGGACCCCTGCGACACTTTACGTTACTCCTGGGAAAAACTCCAGGTCCAGGCTTCCCAGGTAGCTAGCCACTTACTGGAGCTACAACCTGATTTCAGACACGAACTTATCAGCAATGTCAAGATCTTTGTACAAGACTGCAGCAGTTTTTATGAAGACTACGACAAGGTACGTAAAGTGCTAGATTGACAGAACCTGAAAATAAAAAACAATATGAAAACAAATGCGGAGAAGAATTTAAAAAAAAATTGCTTAAATCTTTCCTTTGGCCCATTCAGACCAGAATTACACACACACACAAACACAAACTATATATATATATATATATATATATATATATATATATATATATATATATATATATATATACAAAGTGTAACAGCAAAATTGTCTAAATGGTGTAACATTAAAATTGTCCAATTGTTAGATTAAACTTTGAACCGTTGTATCTTAGAAATGATTGAAGATATCTTACTTAAATTCGTCGAGAGTTTTATGACACTACTGGACTCTACTTTGAGCAATAAGAATGTATAATTACTCTCCAAGCTTAACAGAAGAATCATGATGAAATTGATCATAAACGAAAACGACATGTTCATCATTAATTAAGCATAGTTAAGGATCGGAATCTCAGGAAGGATTGAAATAAAGTTTAAATATAGATATAATCTTCCAGGTTTATTTTCCAATTTATTCAAGATGATCTTCGCCCTCTCTAACCTTCTAACTCTCTGTCCTGGAGTATCAAGTTGCCTCACAAGTTTCACGTACGATTTCCTTTTCAAGTTTTTATTATACTCGTCTTTGGACTATCATAGATGAAAATCCCCTCTCATGTACTAAACGTATTATGAATTGAGTCGGATTTTTTCTAATTGATCTCTTTAGCTCTAAGTCTTCCTCTCAACTGTGAGGCCTCATCTTTTTAAAACTTATTCACCGTTCTCTTGATGGTTCTTCAATTAACTTTGAAGATGGAAGCCAGAGTATGAATGTTTGTATCATTACTGAAGGCCTGAATGATCTTTTCCCTCTCACCATGACTCTTTTGTGTCTGACACAAAACAATTTGAACCTGATCTCTTTTCAGCTGAATAACTCAAAGGTTTTTTCAGTGATTTTACGACAAATGGTGTCAAGATGGCTAAACGTCTTATCTAAAAATCTGGAAAAAAGAACTCAATTAATTTAGTGCTTTTTAGATATTAAACATTTTACGGGATGGATAATTATGCTGTAACACGATTTGGGCAGTTTTTCTGTTACATCCGGAATATATATATATATATATATATATATATATATATATATATATATATATATATATATATATATATATATATGTGCGTGTATGAAAAGATTTAAGATATAAATATAGATATATCTGTAAAGGGAAAACTTCCCTTAGCCGATCCGAACTTTATCAAAGCAATTGTAAAGATTCTATTTTACAACAAGTATTTATAAACAAGAATCAAAAATTAAATTTAAGAGGCGCTCATTAATATTCATTAGACTAACTGAAAGGTTTCTTTTTGTTTATAAATAATTGTAGCAAAATAAAATCTTTATATTTGCCTTGATAAAGTCCATCAGAGAACGAAAAACGACGGCTGAGTTTTACTTTTGTCTTTATATATATATATATATATATATATATATATATATATATATCAGTTGATAATTAGCGAGGACAATGTAGTAACTGAGCAATATAATAATAATTACAGACGATTCTTAAAAAAATCAATTCGCTTATAATTTATTCCAACTCTATACAAATATTCATATCTTCAGACAGAAGTTTTTCTTTTTTTAAGAAAGGTCGTCAATTTATCCAGACGTAAAGAAAAGGGAGAGGAAAAAAGGAAAGGAAAAAAATAAAAGAGAGATAAATAGAAATTTCAATACAGTGTAACCCGGATATAAGAGAGTTGTCGGGACCGGAGAAGAAGTCTCTTATATCCGGGTTTGGTCTATTTTATATACATTAACACAGGCTCTAATTTGGTACCAGAGAAAATCTCTCTTATATCCGGGTTTCTCTTATATCCGGGTCTCTTATATCCGGGTTACACTGTATAAAGTTTTAAAAAATTTGCTGGGAAGATTATATATATATATATATATATTCTTACGTACCTTTCTTATTACATCCACCATAATACCTCATTGTCTCTATGAAAATACTAACTAGTCCCCATATGTACAATTCATTTTCTGTGGGAGGAGGGGGAATAAAACAACAATCCTAAAAACTAGCCCCAATGAGTATTTACAATATTAAAAACAAAACTATTGACAAGAAACTAAAGAAAATAATATTAGTAATAAACCCCCCCCCCCAACAATCACTAAATGTGCCAGAAACATCAGTTAACTGGCCGAAATCAATCTGGGATTATAATAATATAAAACATTCATTCATCCGAAGCACTCACACTGACACGTACTCATTTAGGCACAACAACAAATATGAAAACACTCACACGAAACGAAAGGCACCCCGCATCCACCAGCGAACTGACATCACTGACCACCTAATGAGGGAGGGGATGGGGAATTAAACCATAGAGAAGAGGTCAATCGAACAATTACCATGAAAGTTTTTATAGAAAAGGCAAAGGGAGGCAACTTTATGGCGGACACTGAACCCAAGACGCCAGATCAGGGTCAATAATATTGCTGATTTTTCTTTGGAGCTCAAAATTAATAGCAGGGGTACAGGACTATATTTGGCAGCAATATTCTAAACATCGACGAAAGGTAGACATAGATATGTAAGATAGATTTTGGAGAGAAAAATTGTCTCGTACGACACAGTGAACCAACTTCCTTAACAGTCGACCCAGCAATAGAATTCAATATAGTCTTTCCACTTCATGTCTTGGGCCAACATTCTCAGCTGACATGAAGTGGAAGGGGCTGGGAAGATTTTTCTCGACAGTGAACCAATTACAAAATTATCCAAAATGTTAATATTGCGATTTTTTTTTCTTTTTCCAAACTTTTGACAGCACTAGTCTCTTCTTCAAATATCTGAAATTCTAATTGATATAGAAACCATCTAAAAACAAAAACACTGGATTAGCCATTTGATTGATTGATCGAGTCATTTTTTACGGCTTATCAACCCATTTCAGGTTATTTAAAGTCAGAAAATATTTTTAGAGTGTAAGAATTTTTTCGCTGGCTAATAATGATTTAGTGATACACGTCTTACTAATTAACCCATAGTTGGGGTGACAAGTCGAGGATTCATACTTCTCCCAATGGTATTTACGCGTAAGTGACTATAACAAACCTAGCGAGAATTGGAACCAGTCTCTACGATTAACAATTCCCAGCCATTTATTCATTAGCCCACCAGCACACATTCAATTCTTACAGCACCTGACATTCTCAAACAGTCACCCATCTAGATACTGACCGGGCTCGATATTGCTTAACTACGGCAATCGTACGGGAACCGGTGTTTCAACGTATTATGTTCTTAAGCCTACTAATCATTTTAAAGCAAGTTTGAAGTTTCGATTTGATGTTCAAATTTAACCGGAGCCGCACTGATTTTCTATTCGATTAGAAACGGAAAATGAACTTATATTTTATCTTTTTAAGCAGCCGTACTTTAAAAGAATAAACGTTAGATTTTAGCGATGTTAGAAAAATTGGCGTTAGATACCATCATACAACTACAAATTCTGGCAATTAAAAACATTGGGCTTAATATTTAATATGAAGTGGCCCAATTATTCCCTTAATTATTCCCTTTAGTACAACTAAATGTAATGCATCCTTAGCAATAATAGGTGTGTCTAGGGTAAGATAGCTTGATTGAGATCATACTTCTTCAGGAAGATTTTACATTCCGGGTAGATTTTATACTAGATTGGTTGCCACCAAAGGCAAGAGAACCCAGTTTACCTTGCTATTTTACATAGTCATGACCTTTCCAAGACCCTCAGTATAAAGCATGGATCCAGGGTAACTTTTTTTATCATTGTTCCAAAACTGTACGAACAAACAACTTTAATTGTCCCGAAATTTTTTTTAAAAGAAATTTAGAATTAATAAAATAAAATTTTCATAAAAAAATTCGTGTCTTTCCAAAATGTCTAACTAATGTTCTATCGTTCTCGAGACGACGTTCATTTCAAGCCCACGGGAGAATTGAACGAAACAGACCTTGCCTGAATTTGAACCCAGCACACCCTCCCACTTTTCCGGCACTATATGCGCATCAACGGCTAATCTCAGCGCGCGCGTGCACACACACACACACACGCACATACACACAAATATACAGAGTCGATGGAAAGAATTTAAAGCCCGACTGCAGATGTTTATATTGATTTTTACACTTATATCCTTGGAATCAGCATGCATTCACTTCATCCTGATCTCCTCTCCATCCAGAAAAAAAAAACAAACAAAAAACAAACTTCTTAATTGTTACGCTATTATGGTTGACTGAGAAAAGAGATTTTTGTCAAACCAATCGTTCTAGCCCAGATAGCAGTAACAAAATCATTGTCAGCCCTGAATGAGATGGATCAAATTTACAAACAATGGAACCACTCTGGAGAAAATAACTCTTCTTTTTTTTTCAATAAAAAGAAATGAATTCGAAAAATACACCTTTGAAATTAACCTTACAACAAAAATGTCTAAAATCTCATTAATTTTGAATGCTTTTACAATTACGATAGGCTTCAATACATTTATAAGACTTTTATGTCCCTGATACGTTTCCATTACGATCAGATCCTTCTCTATAGTTACATAATTTCATAATTCATGGAGCAGACGACAGTTTTTTTTGTTATACTCCAAGCCATTTTGAAACGTAGCCACATAATTTTACATTTCACTGAAGCAGACGACATATTTCTTTTTACACTAAACCATTTTGAAACGTAGTAAATAACCTTTTACAAAATTACGCTTGTTTATTGAATTATACGAGATGAAACTTCCAAAATATAATCATGAAAAAGATACTTTTTGGACGCCTACTATCTCTTTCAAAGAAGTCGTTTTGTTTACTCTTTTGATGTTACGGCATCTCTCGTCCCGTAACTCATTAGGGTCGTGAGGGCGGTACACATACTTTTTTTTTTTTAACAATGATGTTCACTCTGTACAAAACTCGGGAGCCACTCGAGGTAGAATGTTACAGAGTAAGAGACATAGTTTATGGGGAAATATTCAAAGCAAAGTCGAGTGGCAGATTTATAAATATGTAAGATAGAAAAATGGTCTAGCATGACACAGTAAAGCAACCTTCCTAGCAGCAGACCTAGAAATTGATTCAATATAATCTTTCCACGCGTAATCTTTGTCAGTGGAGAACTTTAATGTTATAAGACAAAAAATCACAGTGATTTAATTGATAGGTAAACACAAGTTGAGGCTGAAACAGAAGAAAAAAAAAGACATAGGTTCGGGTTTATACTAAAGTCTCAAATGTAGACATTGGTTCTGTATACGTATACATCCCTTCAGGACATGTTTAATCATCGCTCTCCACAATTTCCTGTTTTGTAATCCTTAGTAAAGTCTGTTTTTTTTTCGCTATCTCTCCTAATCCCGGTTCTTCCAAGAATTTGCAAAAGCTCCTTAGGTAGGTTATTCGCTGCTTTCCACTGTCTCTCTTACCTTCAATAATATCCCGTGAGTGTTAATTTTTCTAAACCTTCTTTCCTCATTATGTGCCCTAGAAATTGAAACTCTGTTTCTAATGTTAAGTATAAGTGTCCTGCGTGTTTCCGTTTTCTCTAAAGCTTCGTCGTTGATCACATGTTCCATCCATAATATTCTCAGCATCCTTCTGTAGAACTTTCTCTTGACTAGAATGTCTTCAAGTGGGAGGAGATTATCCAGAAATTCGCTATCATATAGGAGGACCGATATTGCATAACATTTAGGTATCGTTTCTTTGTTTTTAGCGAAATTCTCCTGCTTTTAATACTCTGCTTAGCTTTTGAAAGGCATCTTTCGCTATCTCAATGCGTCTTCAGATTTCGGTGTCACCCTTACAGTCCTCCATTAAAACACTTCCTAGATATTTAAATTATTGTACTTGTTTCATTTTGGCATCTCCAATTTGTATTTCGCGTGTTCGGCTTTTCTTTTTGCCAACGGATATACTTTCTATCTTTTTACGTTGGAATATACAGTAGGTTTAAAATGGTAAATATAAACCCTTGTGCAAATTAATTAAAAGAATCGCTTTAGCTTCCTTTCTTTCAACATGCGGTCAGTTTTAGACATATTGGAGTGACATGGTGTAATTGATTTCTATTTTAACCTTAGATTAGGTCATTTGCAGTGCTTTGCAGTAATATAAATCTTTTTCGAGTGTATGATGAAATTTTTTTGGCCTCGAAAAATATTGCCTCATCTGCGATTGCATCAAATTTTTATCACACCCAGACACTATTGTCTCTACGGCCATTGTTTGCGATGGACGTTACTCCAAGGAAGCGTACGAAAATATGTAACGCTGCACGAAAACATTGGAAAGCGTTACCAGTGAGCAAATCAGTGTACTATTGACTGGCTCGGAAATGCTGTTGATTTAAATCTAATTGAGAATCTGTGGTCAATCTGTAAGGAAAGACTCCGTGAAATGGACGTACTAAGTACTAACATGTGCATTGGGTCATGTTTCATTGGAAAAATACGAAAATAAGTAAATAATATCGGAATTATTCGTTTTGTTCCAGTTAATTTGCACAAACGTGTAGGTTTGGTTTGTCTTAGTAAGTAGTAATATTTAGTTATTATTATGAAGATATTATCAGACGTTATTAACCTATAACCTCCTGGTCCTCCTTTTTAAATAATGGCTTCTTCGTTTTATATACTGTCACCATTTTTCTCAAAGTTCATATTTTTTTTTTATTTCAGATGAAAATTTTCAAACATGTTTTAGTTAAGGTTTCGTTTTACGAAATTATGGTTTATAATTATAGTAAGATATTTGGAAAAAAGAAGGCGTTATTTTAAACTTAAATAATTGCAAGGTTTGATTTTTTTTTCAGGCTTGCGGTTTGTTACGATTTTATTTTACCTTTTGCAGATTATTTAAAGCCAGAAAATATTTTTTAGATTGTAAGATTGTAAGAGTTTGTTTGGAGATAATATTGATTTGCTGATACAAGTGCTACTGATTAACCCATAGCTGGGGAAGAAATGGTGGATTCATACCTTTCCCAAGAGTATTTGCGCGTAAATGAATATAACGGACCTGACTGGAATTCGAACTCAACCTTTTGGTTTCCATTTTCCAGCCTTTATCCATTGCACCACCCGCACATCAAAACATACAAAGGCCAAGTATTACCAAGCAGTCACCCATCTAGGTACGGACCAGGCTCGACGTTGCTTCACTTCAGTGATCGTAATGGCCGTACACCTAAATCAATAAAGGGTCGTAGTACTTGCGTTGTTATATTCAGTTCGTGTTTTTGATACATCTTGAAATTTTGGCTTAAAGTTCTTTTTGTTTTTCTTGCTCTTTCAGTCTGGTCCGATGGTATCAGGTATCGATCCGCGTGACGCATCGGATCGATTAATCCTATTTCAGAACAATTTCGACAATCTGTTCCGGAAGTATGTTACATATACGCAAGGTGAAGAACTGTTTGGCCTGCCTGTCACACAGTACCAACAGCTGCTACAGATCAGTAAAGAGTTGAAGCTATTGCAGAAACTCTATGGACTTTACAACAACGTCATTGATTCTGTAAACGGTTATCAGGACATCCTGTGGGCAGACCTCAACATTGACGGGATTAATACAGAACTACAGGATTTCCAAACAAGGTGAACAGTCATTTTTATTCGAGATGCAATATTCTTTATTAATATTGTCAATAATTTATTTCACTTTCAAAACGTTTCTTCCTTGTGCGGAAATTAGTAACAAGAAAATATTTTGTCGAACATTTTTAGACTTTATGAATTTAAGCGCAGTACTAGGTTGGCAGTTCGGTCTCATCATTTTCCCACTTGAAATGCGTAGACGTAATATATGTTGACAGTTTCTTTTTCCCCATTTCTCGCTGATGGAATTCTTTTCCGGATTTTTGCATTCTAGTCAACTTTGATCTTAAAAATTTGAATGCAATGTCAATCATTTTCTTCTGTCTTGTTAATTCTTGTACTTTTATTGTTCTCTCTCCTTAATAATGTTTTTTTTTCTCAGATTCTCTAACGCTCAGTAACCACCTGCGTCTTAGTGGTTTTGTTGCCATATTTGGGGCGAAATGATTAAAAAGTGGCTAAACTCTATTTTTCTTATATTCTTTCACACTCAATAACATTGTGTCTTAGTGGCTTTATTGCCTTGCTTCGGGTGAAATGATTAAAAAACAAAATGCAGATATGTATTTAAAGAAAAGCTATTTAATACATTAGAACATTCTTAGAAATTTCTTTTTAATTCAGTATTAGCCATCAATGAACACCTGATGAGGGCCTTGGAGTACTTAATAGATTTGGTTGTTTTGTTTTATGGCATATCAACTTCAGTGGGTCATTTAATGCCAACAAAATTTTGAAATAGATTTATGGCAGTTTGCTTTGTTTTGTTTTGTTTTACGGCATGGGTTATTTAATGCTGACAATTTTTTTTTTATTGCTGTTAATGTTTTTCTTCAAAAATCTATTTCTGGGAATATTTTTTCTTGAAATCTATACCTGGTAATATTTTTTTTTCAAAGAATGTATAGCTGTTTTATTGCTAGTATTTTTTTTAAGAATTCCTGATAATTTTTCCTTCAAAAATTATTGCTGGTAATAATTTTGTTTTTATTGCAAAGTATTTCTGGTATTAAAACCTATTTTACACAAGTATGAGTGCTAACTATTTGCCCATAGCTGGAACCATAACAGGTGCTACCACCCCGGGTCAGGTTGGACCTGGAAACACCAGCAATTAAGAGGTGGTTCCACGCTCCTCAAAACCTCTTGATCAGAGGCCTTGCTGCTGGATGTAGTTTATCGTCTTATCCAGGACGCAAATGTAGTTTATCGTCTTACCCAGGACGCGGATGTAGTTTATCGTCTTACCCAGGACGCGGGTATAGTTTATCGTCATACTTAGGTCAGGTACTTAATAGAAACGATGTATGTGTTATAACATCTATAATATCAGCACTTGTCGGGTTATCATTCATTGATTCATTCAGTTAACGCATTTTGTACCGCAGTGGTCACCATTCGCTTCCATATTACAATTGTTGTTCAAAAGCAAAATAGTGCAATGGTTCCTTTGCACCGGGGATTTTGAGGATACCCTATCCCTCCTCTCAGTAATTTAAAGAGGCAGCGGGTGGTCTAAATTCAGAGTCTTCCTTCACTAGATTGTTGATGTTATATGGAGGCCGGGTGTTACCCAAGCCATATGCCCCCGGCTCTCGGCCGTACCGACAAGATCCAGTGGAATACATAGCATTACATTTGTGGACGGCTTGGCTGTTGAAGTTGCAGGAACGTTGTCAGTGTTGACAACCAACCACCTTCGGGTTTTCTGTCTGGATTTAATTTTATAGCTTTTTCCGTGTGAGGATATGACTGAAAAGCAGTAGAAGGTTTAAAATAAGGGCTTCCCTTCTCCTATCGGAACTTACTTCCTCGGCTGTCGATTTTTATCGGCCCGAGTTTTTTTTGTTGGTTATATTATGTCAAAATCTGTTTGTTTAGTATATTTGACTATGTAGATAAACATTGCCCATGTTTTTAAATTATAAGGGCAGATACATATTGACTCTACTTATAAGAGTGCGAATTACTCTTTTTGAATAATATCACGTTTACTTATGATCTCTCAGTTGCGTCTCTGTCCTTGGACAGATGCGCTCAGGGGCTTCTCTATCAAAGGACAGAGAATCCCCCGACTGAAGACTGAGGAAATTATACTGAGAGGTGCCCGACCCTGGGAACAGCTGCCCGAGGCCGCGCCCTTCCATTGCACCAGAGGGAGGGATCAGTGTTCGCATCGAGGTCAGCGCAACCGACGGCTGCGGGAGCTGAGGGGAATTTTTGTTCCTATCCCGTGTGTACGCACTCGGGTCCCCACCTAAAAATAGACCTTGTGTCACATCTTGTCCTAATGGGGGGGGCAGGCTAAATACTTATTTATAAGAGACTCTCCAGGTAAGTATTCGTCGTATACTTGAGTCTCTCGGTAATCGTTGGTGGATCATATCGGCCGTGTTAAAGTTTCAAGAGTGCAGTTGAGAAAAAACTGAAAAATTGTTTGTAAATTCAAACAAACTAGGTCGGTGGCAGTTGTGCAAAACACCGCTGCGTGCACGTTTACGCCGTTCAGCTGAAAAAATTGCTACAGTGTACGAGAATGTGGCCGAAAAACCAGACGCCTTTATTCGTCATCGCGTGTAGGAATTGAACCTCTCCACAACAACGTTATATCGTTTCCAATTGCATTCTCGGTTGGTCGATTATGCTGACCAAAAATATCGCAAAGTGCGCGAAATACATTTCTGTTTGAACGTCCATTTTCGTAATAGGCTTCGATAACTTTAACACGTTGTTTGATTGCTAATCTTTCTATTGTAGAAATTGCCAAAGACTTAAGTTGTTAAATCTGAAAGAAAAAGAAAAAAATCATTAGACACTTCAACTTAATTCACATTTAAAATCGGTCCAAGTTATTGGAACACACTTTATAACATTAAGTCTTATAAAAATTAATAAAATTATTAAAGCTATCATGAACTTTATTTACAACAACAAACGTTTAGAAAGTTTACATATCTTTATTTTAGTAAATATTATTATTTATTATTAAATATAAACTGACTCTATAATTCTGGGGTATTTTCAGATGCCGTAAGCTGCCGCGGGCTCTGAGGGACTGGCAGGCTTATGCAGACTTAAAGAAAAAGATTGACGATTTCAATGAGATTGTCCCATTACTACAACTCATGAGCAATAAAGCGATGAAAAATCGTCATTGGCGGAGAATGACGGAAGTTACCGGACATACATTTGATGTCGAAGGCGACAACTTTCTCTTGAAAAACATCCTGGAGGCACCAATACTCAAGTACAAAGAAGACATTGAAGTAAACTCTCAACTTTCTAAGCTTTTTTCCGTTGTTTGCGTGCAACCTCTTCAAGCAGACCTCATTTGCGTCGTATTATTTGCTTTATTAGATGTAAATAAGCGGAGGACGTTTTGTCACGTATGAGATGTCACTCTAAAATGGCGTGCATTTCCATCGTTATAATTGCTTTGCTCAATCTGTTCATGTCTTTTTCAAGCAAATCGACCAGATTTGACAAAGTTACAGTGCTGGATTTTCTTTATGAGCTAAATAACCTATAGCTTGGGAGTCACACACCCTTTAAGCTCACACACCATGGAAGGTCACATACCCTAAGGGACTTCATTTTTTTTTAATACATTTTTTAATTTATCATTAGTTTTATTGTTTAAAAAATCATAACAACTTTATCATTACTATTAATATTAATATAAAAATAATAATTATAGTAATAATGACAATAATGATAATTCAAAAAATTTGACAACGAACCTTGATTATATATAACCAAGATTCTGTGTGAAGTTTTTTAAATTCTCATATACTTGAATTTTGATTGGTCATTGTAGCTTATGTAACAGCGTTTCCTCTATTGAGGGATGTTTGGTTGATTTGAACCTTTTAAAACTCTTTATTCTACATTCAACACGGTCACTTGATAAGACACCAGAAGTGTTGAAACAAAATGGCTATTTTTGTAGTGATATTATAACATGTTTATATCATAATTTTTGAATAAATAGTCTATCTATCTATCTATCTATCTATCTATCTCAGTCTGTCCATATCTTTATCAGTCTGTCCATATCTATCTATTTCAGTCTGTCCATACTACTCGGTCAATGAAAGCCAGATTTTTCCACAAGCAGCGAATCTCTCTCTCTCTCTCTCTCTCTCTCTCTCTCTCTCTATCTATCTATCTATCTGTCTTAGTCTTTAAATTATCTATCTATCTATCTATCTATCTATCTATCTATCTATCTATCTATCTTAGTCTTTATCTATCTATCTATCTATCTATCTATCTATCTATCTCAGTCTGTCCATATCTATCTATCCTTCATGATACTTCTTTATCTAATTATACTATGAAACCACCTTTGGCTTCGATGACTGCTTCTGTTCGTGCGCGAAACCGTCCACAAGCTGCAATTAAGTGGTCCTTATTCATTTTGGACATCACCTGGACAATGGGGCCTTCAGTACAGCTATGGTACTATGAGGATATCGATTAGTCTGTCCATATCTTTATCAGTCTGTTCATATCTATCTATTTCAGTCTGTCCATACTACTCGGTCAATGAATGCTATATCTTTGTACAAGCAGCGATTCTCTCTCTCTCTCTCTCTCTCTCTCTTCACACAGGTTTTATTGAATAATATAGGCGTATTGTGTTTACTTATTTTTATAGAGATCCTTTCAAGTTGTCTCATCGATTTCTTGATGTTGAGATGAAATTCATCAAGGAATAGTAGTTTTTTAACCCAAGTAATTTTTAAGATCATCTTCCGGAGTAAATTACAAAGACAAACGTATTGTAACTGCGATAAACACACACACACACACACACACACACACATATATATATATATATATATATATATGTATGTGTGTGTATGTGTGTGTGTGTGTGTGTGTGTGTGTGTGAAAGTGGAAAATGCCATGTGACGCGTTTCATCTGTTAGGACATCATAGGACGAAACGTGACAAGAAAACTTTGTCCCCTTCTTTCACCTAAAATTGTTCGTTATGCCATATATATATATATATATATATATATATATAAAATATAAATATAAAAATAGTTGTAAGATATGCTATATTTAATGTGTGGTATCTGAGTTCTCGGCCAAAAATTCGTCGTACCAAACTGGGTCGGGTAGCTGTTTTCCGAGACGAGACTGACCTTCAACATAGGCTCGTCTGTGGGTTCTTTCTGCTCGGAGGCAGACAGTTTGGCCAGCACAACTGGAGACGAATCTCCAACTGCAGACCAACATACAGTATTTACTACTGTATTTATGTGCATGGGGGCATACCCATTATCGTCCGTAGGTTTGCTATATCAATTATTCTTTCCGAATTCACGAATACTACATCACTCTTAAAATATTGTTATAGAAAAGATGAAAAATGTTCACCTCAAAATAGTTAAAAATAAAAAAGAACTATTTTATATCTGTTATGGTCCAGGTTAGGACCAAGGAAGAACAATACGAACACAAGAGTAGAAATAACGAAGGTATATTACACGAAATAATAATACAAGATCTGGAAGTTGTTAGTATGACTGTCAGTCTGGTTTGGAGTGAACTACTATCAGCTCGACTCGATTCGGTATCTAGCCACCCCCCACGAGGGTTGCATGTGGCACAAGACCGAGTTTAACGTGGGTTTCCCAAGCCCGTAGTCTCGGCCAAAAAATGCCCGTAGAACCCGTATAAACGGGATCGGGTTGGTCAACCCCCCCGAACGAGACTCTGCCCTTCGGCGGAGCCTCTTCCGGGTTCCTCTCTGTTCAGAAGCAGAGAGTTCGACTGTCAAGCCGAGAAGCTCGGCACGATTCGGTATCTAGCCACCCCACACGAGGGTTGCATGTGGCACAAGGCCGAGTTTAACGTGGGTTTCCCGAGCCCGTAAGCTCGGCCAAAAAATGCCCGGGTTCTAACCCGTATAAACGGGATCGGGTTGGTCAACCTCCCCAAACGAGACTCTGCCCTTCGGCGGAGCCTTGTCCGGGTTCCTCTCTGCTCAGAGGCAGAGAGTTCGACAGTCAAGCCGAAAAGCTCGGCTCGATTCGACCCTCTTTCTTGAGAGGCGTAGTAGACATAGTGTTAGGAAGAGTTCATTCTGTAGTTATAGGTAAGGACCCATGACAATATCATATACCCTGTTAAGTGACTACCCTCGTCGTTTACAAAATAAAACAGAGGAAAATAGAAACCCCGACAGTTTTCATGGCTCTCGGTGAGTTTTGTAATTGATAGAATAGAGATGTTGCTACAAGCCATAGAATGTTCCTGTGGTATCGGAATTTATTGATTAGATATTTAGACATGTTTATGTATCTTCTATCAGTGTTTAAAATTTTCAGATCGAGTATATCTGTAAAGGGAGAATATGAATAAAGACAAAAAGAGAACTTAGCCGACTCGTTTCGTCCACTGAGGGATTTTATCAAGGCGAATGTAAGGCTTTTATTTTATTATCAGTGTTTCTTTTGTAATTTAAGGACATCTGTATCTCGGCTGATAAAGAAAAAGACATTGAAGCTAAGCTGAAGCAAGTCACTGAAGAATGGGACAACAAGCAATTCACTTTTGCTACGTTCAAGAATCGTGGAGAGCAGCTGCTTCGTGGAGATTCAACAAGCGAAATCGTCAGTTTGATGGAAGACTCGCTTATGGTTCTAAGCGCTCTCATGAGCAACAGGTAAGACCCTAGTAATACCTTGCCTTATATAACTTACCTAAAGACGCACACACTGTCCTAGAGTGCTTGTCTAGCAAGACATTGTCTTGAAAAATCTGATGTTCCAAGGAAGTCTCATAAGTTGAAGGAACACGGTACATAGAAGAAGGAACAGACGACAAGTTCAGTAAATGCTCAAAAATTGAAACAGGAATAAGACAGATATACGTTTTCTCATCGGGTATATTTAGCTAATACGGCAAGACGAAACTAAGAGAATTAAAAAGGCCATACCATGATTTATTAATGGTGGGCTAATCCTAATAGATAGGCTAGTAGCATTATATTGAAAGATAGTAATGGAAAGTGAGAAGAAAGGACTATTAACTGTAAGAAGAGAGAAAACATAGTTGGCAATAAGGGGGGGGGCAGTCCATGGAGTGATTTATGTCTCAGGGTCGTTAGAATCAAGTAAGGGAAAAAATTAACTATCTGGGTGAAAACACGATGGCCAATGTGACAACACGGGAAGACGAACGTGCATTGGAATAACCATAGTTGTCATTCAGAAACTAAGCAAAGTATTAATAGATTGGAAAAATTCCTCAAAAACAAAGAAAAGTTGCAGAAAAATATCTTATATGGCGGCAAAAGCTGGACAATTTCCTCACAGATGAAGCGACAAAGATTTGATTCTACTGATGTACAGGGTACAGTGGATGAATTGTCGTCTAAATGTCGCAAAAATGAACATAACACTGACAACACATTTTAACAGATATATTTACCAAAATTGCACAAAAATATCTTGAAATACTAAAAACTAAATCTATTCAATAAAATTGCCATTAGCTTCAACCACATCTTCCATTTCATAATGTGTGACATCATTTGTTTACATTTGGATACCCATTGAGCAGATATGAATGTACGAGAGAAAATGAAAGAAAATTGTAGTTTAAAAACAGTAAAATCAACTTTGCTAACCGAAACGCTCCTCTGTGGCTCAATCGGTAAAGCACGTCAGGCTCTATGACGATTCCGTATAGGATACAGGTTCGGTTGCTGTCGGAGCACGCATATTTTCTATGAAAATTTCTCGGACATTCAAGCCAGTAAATTTCGTTAATACTGTTTGTTTTAAACAGAGCATTTACTTAAATATTTGTATCTATAAAAAGAATGTATAAACATAAAAATGTTTGAATACACACACACACACACATATATATATATATATATATATATATATATGTGTGTGTGTGTGTGTGTATGAAGAGGAGAGAGAATGAGAACGGAAGCGAGGGGTGAAATAGGGACATAGACATACAGTTAATTTCCAGATGAATAATACTGAAATATGTTTATTTGAAACTGTTTCACTTCAAAAAACTGCCGAAATGTTATGATAAATTAGGACAACAGATGACGGGAAATCTAGTTTGAATACAATGTCAAAGAAAAGAATACTGGATTGTTATGTGACATTCCTTATACTCTTATATTGTAGTGAATGCTGTACAGTCTCCCCATAGTTAAAGGGAAAACTGGAGGTAACAGAATTGTGGTTCTACAGAAGGATACTGAGAATTTCCATGAGCGGAGCGAGTAAGCAAACGAGGTTTTAATGGAAATGGCCAAGAAAAAGAACACTTATACCCAAAATGTGGAAAGAGGACTTGTAAAATCTAGCTTGAGGATTAGGCTTTTCAAGCATGCTGAGGGCAAGAGTTGTAGAGGCAGTTTACGAGTCGCTTGATTAACTACCTTGTTTGAAGGTATAGCGATACGGGAAGTGAGTGCCTTAACAAAGAGAAAAAATCATTATGGGTCACGTTTGCAGAGACAATATCGCTCAAGTTGTTAGTTGAGACGCGACACATACAAGATTACAGTGAATCCAACGTGAAACGGAAGAGTAATTTGGAATAAAGAGAAATGTGTCAGCGAGCCATTCTCAAATTTAGTATTCTGATGAATGGAAAATTGAAAAAAGATTTAAAACAGTATTGTGTGACTGGTGTCATTTACGGTGTGCATAAAGTTTGTCTATTATTTCATGGCATTAATGCTTTAATAGAAAAGTGAAAAGGACAACAAAAACAGGAAGAAAATTAAAAAAAATAAAAGTTTTCATTTCAACGATAGATTAACACTAGCAAACTTATCTAGTGGTTTAATGAATGAATACACTTCAGGTCAGGGACATTAAAATGAAGCAGGTACAGATATTAAATCTCTGTTCTGATAGAGGACAGAAAGTGCGACACTGAAATCCGAAGACGTATTAGCGTGGCCAAAGAAGCATTCCAAAATCTAATCTGAGTATTACGAGACAGGCAAGTTTCGCTGAATGGCAGCGAATGCTGGAAATCTCAAAGATGAAGAAGAAACTTGAAACAATAGAAGTGTAATTCAGCAGAAAGATGCTGATGATACCATGGGCTGAAAATGTGAGCAATGACGAGGTTTTGGAGAGAATGGAATCAAAGAGGAAACTTATTCTTAACATCAGGAAGAGGCAGCTGAAAGTTCTACAAAAGATGAATACCATAGACCAAACATGTGAGCAACGACGGGGTTTTGGAGAGAATGGAATCAAAGAGGAAACTTATTCTTAACATCAGGAAGAGGCAGCTGAAAGTTCTACAGAAAGATGCCGAGGATACCATAGACCAAACATGTGAGCAACGACGGGGTTTTGGAGAGAATGGAATGAAAGAGGAAACTTATTCTTAACATCAGGAAGAGGCAGCTGAAAGTTCTACAGAAAGTTGCTGATGATACCATGGGCTGAAAATGTGAGCAATGACGAGGTTTTGGAGAGAATGGAATCAAAGAGGAAACTTATTCTTAACATCAGGAAGAGGCAGCTGAAAGTTCTACAGAAAGATGCCGATGATACCATGGGCTGAAAATGCAATGACGAGGTTTTGAAAATGGAATCAAAGAGCATTCTTAACATCAGAAAGAGGCAGCTGAAAGTTTTGATACCATGGGCTGGAGAATGACGAGGTTTTGGAATCAAAGGAAACTTATTCTTAACATCAGGAAGAGGCAGCTGAAAGTTCTACAGAAAGATGCTGATGATACCATGGGCTGAAAATGTGAGCAATGACGAGGTTTTGGAGAGAATGGAATCAAAGAGGAAACTTATTCTTAACATCAGGAAGAGGCAGCTGAAAGTTCTACAGAAAGATGCCGAGGATACCATAGACCAAACATGTGAGCAACGACGGGGTTTTGGAGAGAATGGAATCAAAGAGGAAACTTATTCTTAACATCAGGAAGAGGCAGCTGAAAGTTCTACAGAAAGATGCCGAGGATACCATAGACCAAACATGAGCAATGACGAGGTTTTGGAGAATGGAATCAAAGAGGAAACTTATTCTTAAGAAAGATGCATCCATGGAAAATGTGAGCAATGACGAGGTTTTGGAGAAATGGAATCAAAGAGCTTATTCTTAACATCAGAAAGTTCTACAGAAAGATGCTGATGATACCATGGGCTGAAAATGTGAGCAATGACGAGGTTTTGGAGAGAATGGAATCAAAGAGGAAACTTATTCTTAACATCAGGAAGAGGCAATGACGCTGAAAGTTCTACAGAAAGATGCTGATGATACCATGGGCTGAAAATGTGAGCAATGACGAGGTTTTGGAGAGAATGGAATCAAAGAGGAAACTTATTCTTAACATCAGGAAGAGGCAGCTGAAAGTTCTACAGAAAGATGCTGATGATACCATGGGCTGAAAATGTGAGCAATGACGAGGTTTTGGAGAGAATGGAATCAAAGAGGAAACTTATTCTTAACATCAGGTAGAGGCAGCTGAAAGTTCTACAGAAAGATGCTGATGATAGAAAGATGCTGAAAGTTCTACAGAAAGATGCTGATGATATTGGGCTGAAAAATACCATTCTGAAAAGGAAGAGGCAGCTGAAAGTTCTAATGCTCGATGATACCATGGGCTTTTGGAGCAATGACGAATGGAATCAAAAAGAGGAAACTTATTCTTAACATCAGGAAGAGGCAGCTGAAAAGTTCTACAGAAAGATGCTGATGATACCATGGGCTGAAAATGTGAGCAATGACGAGGTTTTGGAGAATGGAATCAAAGAGGAAACTTATTCTTAACATCAGGAAGAGGCAAAGTTCTGAAAGTGATACCACAGAAAGATGCAGATGCTGATGACCCATGGGCTGAAAATGTGAGCAATGACGAGGTTTTGGAGAGAATGGAATCAAAGAGGAAATTTAACTTCAGGAAGATCAGCTGAAAGTTCTACAGAAAGATGCCGAATACCATAGTTCAAACATGTTAACAACGACGAGGTTTTGAGAGAATGGAATCAAAGAGGAAACTTATTCTTAACATCAGGAAGAGGCTGAAAATTCTACAGAAAGCAATGACGAAAATGTGATTTGACGAGAATGGAATCAAAGAGGAAACTTATTCTTAACATCAGGTAGAGGCAGCTGAAAGTTCTACAGAAAGATGCTGATGATACCATGGGCTGAAAATGTGAGCAATGACGAGGTTTTGGAGAGAATGGAATCAAAGAGGAAACTTATTCTTAACATCAGGAAGAGGCAGCTGAAAGTTCTACAGAAAGATGCTGATGATACCATGGGCTGAAAATGTGAGCAATGAGGAAACTTATTCTTAACATCAGAGGTTTTGGAGAATTGGAATGGAATCAAAGAGGAAACTTATTCTTAACATCAGGAAGAGGCAGCTGAAAGTTCTACAGAAAGATGCTGATGATACCATGATAAAACATGTGAGCAATGAAAAGAATGGAATCAAAGAGGAAACTTAATGACGGCAGCTGAAAGTTCTACAGAAAGGTTTTGGAAAATGAGAATGGGAATCAAAGAGGAAACTTATTCTTAACATCAGGAAGAGGCAGCTGAAAGTTCTACAGAAAGATGCTGATGATACCAATGGAGCTGAAAATGGCTGAAAATGTGAGCAATTCTACAGAAAGATGCTGATGATACCATGGGCTGAAAATGAGG